CCTGTTCAGCTATGGACTCAAAATCTTTAAAACATTTGCCCTCTTATACCCAGTAATCTAACTAACCTAAAATAAAGAAACTTTTTGCAGAAAAGTTGTTCTTCACAAGCGATGATTTCTAACCTTGGAAAATGGAAGTAACCTAAACATGAAACTCAAGCAAATACTAACAAAAATGTGGCCAAGCCCTTGGCAGAATGTTTGGCAGCCATTGGACATCACGGTGATGAACAGCAAACGTTGCCACGAAAGGAACAACTACGATGTGCCATACCCTGGGCTGGGTGCTATTTAATGCTCACAATAACATTTCAGGGTAGAAACCATTATACCCACTTTACAGATGGGGAAAGAAAAGCCCAGAGGAGTGAAGAGCCTTGGTTGTGCTTGCAGAACTGAGAAGCTACACAGCTGTGCTGAGCAGTTCACTGAACGTCCCTGAGCTTGCTTCTTCATCTGCAGAATGGGAACGATACCTCCAATAAGTGATAATTTGGGTGGGGGCAGGCTAATGGCAGTAGAACATGCCAGCTTAGTGCCTGGCCTACAGTAGGTGTTTGGCAAATGCAAATCCTTCCTTTTGCATCTTGTGGGGCCACCTTCACCTTCTGACTGCTACTCCCCATGCAGTCACCACAGAAACTGCTCCTGTCTCTCCCTGTGCCCACCACCCTGCCCATGCCCTGAGACTGAGTGTAGAGGTCAAGAACAGGGCGGGGCTGTTTGTGGATGACGCCAAGGACTCTATTTCTGGGTCATTATCTGCAATGGAACTCTAGCCAGTGCCCCTGGGGAAGCCGCTGTGAAAACCCCTGGCTTGCCAAGGTCCCCAAATATGATAGCGAGGGACAACCCATGTGCAGGCCAACAGGGTTACGCTCAGCCAGATTGGGAAATGCCGATGGACCTGGTTTCTTGGGAGGAGTTAATAAGCCCTCAGTCCTCAGACTCTTGTGTGCTGAGCCAGTCATCAGTGAGACAAAGATTATTCCATGTGAGGTGCTGGCATGATGGAGTTGGGACTCAGTTCCAGGTGGTGCTAGTGGTAAAGAAACCGCCTGCCAGTGAGTAACAGACGTCCCATCCCCGGGTCAGGAAGATCCCCTGGAGGAGGGCATGGCAACCCACCCCAGTATTCTTGCCTGGAGGATCCCATGGACAGAGGAGACTCGCGGGTCACATAGAGTCGGACACGAAATGACTGAGATTGCGCATGCACGCACATGGTAAGGAACGGGTGACCTGGGAGCCGGCTGGGGACAGGGATGGCAGAGGGGACAGAAGTGGTGATGGTGGTAGGGGTGAGGTGGGGATGGATTCAACAGTGACCCTTGTGGTGATGCGGGGGTGGAGAGGATGCAGTTGGAGGTGGTGGGCTGACAGAGGAGATGAAGACAGATTAGGGTTTTGGTGATGATGACAGGTTCCCGGCATCCATCGTGTGAGCAAAATTCAGGGCACTTAACCCTGCCTGGATGAAGCTAGCCCCGGCACCCCCTTGGGGGTATGATCTTGGACTTAACCCCCTCACCTCTTTTTCTCTCTCCATTGCCCTCCTTTAGAGGTGCACCCAGAGCCACAAGACCATTTGCCAGTAAGTGCGCACCTCACCCAAATTGAAGTGCAATTAGAAGATAAGAGATTCCTGCCCTGGGCTCCAGTCCCGAAGGGAAGGGAGCTGGCAGGGATGGCCAATGTGACTAGAACTTTGCACCCATTACCACTGAGTTCTTAGCATACCGCGGTCCTAGACAGGAAGGGATGTGACTCAGTAACAGGATTAGAACGCAGAGCAGGACCTGTGTTTTCTCCTCTGTTAGGCTTCTGGTTTTCTCTTCCCCTTCCGCCTCGCCCTTCCCACAGGCCTGTGCAAAGCCCCGGGGTCCAGGCAGAGGTAGAACAGCCTTAATCAGGGGCTTCATTCTGCAGGGTCCCTGAGGCCTCCACCCCTACGTCCCCTTCCCACACCCAGCTCTACTCATCTTTCATCAAAACTTCTTCTGACACATCCTCATGGGCCCTGAAGAAGCCTGTGACCCATCCTCAGAGCAGTGTGACCTGTTACGCTTTGGGTAAGGCACAAAGTCTTTCCCCTGAGTTGAACCCGCCTCGTTCCCCGGGAGGGAAGAGAGGGCTGTCAAACCCTTTAGGCCTGAGTCCCAGGGAAGTTCCGGCTCCTGCTCAACACGCCACTCCACCCCTCTGCCTCCTGGGTCCAGTGCTCCTTCTCCCCGCCTTGCCGGGCCCTGGGTTTCACGCAGTCTTGCCTCCTCCTCGTCAGGGGAGACACATGCTATAGACACACTATAGAAACACGCTCATCTGATCCTCATGAGGCCAAAGTTCTAACAGTCTGGATTCGGTCACCTGAGAAAAATGCACAGAGCCCATGTGAGCTGGGAAGACACAGGCTGAACCTGCCCCAACAGGGAGCCTTCCTGTGTCACTGGCACGGCCACTCCCACGCGCAAGCCTCCGCCGTGGCTCCCGCTGGCTGCGGAACCCACTTCCTGTCTCTCCCCCAGGCGCCAGGCGAGCGAGCTAGGGCCTCACAGCAGCTGGCTCCATTCTTCCGCCTCCAGACATTTGCATATACCCTCCCCTCCGCCCAGAACACCTTCCCCAGTCTTCTGCATATGTGCAAATTCTGTCTATCCTCCAAGGCCAGGTTAGGTGTGGAGCCACAATCAGGCGTTGGGGCCCCTGCACTGGCCCCTGAGCTTCTGGTAGGCCAGCAGGAGTAAGAGACGGAGCAGGCACAGATGAACAAGAAGTGAGTGGAGAAAAACAGATAACCAACGAGGACCTACTGCACAGCACAGGGAACTATACTCATATATTCTGTAAAAGCTATAAGGGAAAAGAATATGAAAAGATTATATACATGCATGTATGCATGCATGCTCAGTCATGTCCGACTCTGCAACCCTATGGACTGTAGCCTGCCAGGCTCCTCTGCCCAGGGGCTTCTTCAGGCCAGAATACTGGAGTGGGTTGCCATTTCCTTCTCCAAGGGATCTTCCAGACCCAGGGATCAAACCCCGTGTCTCCTGCAGCTCCTATATTTGGCAGGCGGGTTCTTTACCATTCAGCCACCAGGGAAGCCCCATATGAAGATATATGTGTATATATAACTGAATCACTTTGTATATGTAGCTGAATCACCTGAGACTAATACAACATTGCAAATACTGTACTTCAATTTAAAAAAAAAAGAAGTGAATGGAGTCGCCCATGGGTCTGACTGGGGAGGGGACCCGACAGAGCCCAGGCCAGTCCCTTCCCCAGGCCTCAGCTGTGCGTGGCAGCCCCGGGCGGAGGCCTGAGAGGGAAGGCGGCTCAGCCTTCTTCAGGGCCCAGTCCCTCTATGGCTGGGCCCAGGGCTCCGCTTTGCTCCTCTCTGCCTCTCAGTTTGCCTTCTGAAAAATGGGACTAGGCACATTCTAGAAATTACAGCTTCTCTTCCCCCAACCCCTCTCCCCGACATCCCTCTATGCCTCCCCTTTCCCTCCCCTCAAAAGGTGCTTGAGAAGGGTTCACAGAGGACGCGGAATTAGAGTGACTCTGGCTTCCACACCCCCCTGCCCCCGCCCCCGAGACGGGCAGGCCGTTGGGAGTCCTGTCGGGTTGGGAGAGGCGTACCCACCCCCGCGGCAAACAGCTCTCAACAGCCCACGGCTCCAAGACATTTTAGAAGTTGGAGGCACTGGGGGTGGGGATCCCAGGACTGCCTGGGGCCTCCAGGAGGGCCAGAGAGGGAGGTGGCCCCCCTCGCCCACAGGCGTGTCCCCGCAGGCTGGCTCCACCGCCAGCCGTACCACCACCTCTAACTGACCGCAGACGCCCACTTTCGCTTTCCCACCTTCTCATTCACTTCTCATAGGTATTTCCCATCTGGAAGGAATCCACAAGGCCCAGAGAGGAAACCAAGGCCCAGAGAAGCTCAGAGAGGGATGCCCCAGAGGTTAGGCCCAGACTGGTTCCCAAACCAGGATTTCCTGGCAAGCCTTGGTCTGGGGTCCACTTGATGCCACCAGGGCCCTCCTGCCCCAGCTCCAGGCTGCTTCCCTGGCAAACACACATGGAATCAGATGGCCCTGAGTTTTGATCACTGCAGTTCACAGGCCCCAGGCATGCCCTCATCCTCCTGCCTCAGTCTCCTTCCTGAGAAACAGGGTTTGGACAAGAACCAGAGCCCACACAGGGGTCACAGCCTGTCTCCACCATTTGGATTTCAGTGTTTTCCAGGCCCCGGCCCGGCCCAGCTCTCAGCTGAGTCTCTACCTGGTTCCCCAGGACAGAGATGTGTCAGGGCCTCGGGATGTGCCAGAGCTTGGGGGGAGGGTGTCTGCGGTGAGTAACGGCTGGACACTTCCTAGTCCAGCTGAGGAGGCACCGAGCTTCGTTACTGACCACAGGCCAAGCTCCTTGGGGCTCTCCAGGGTCTTTCCTGCACTATAACCATCCCCATTCTACAGATGAGGAAACTGAGGCCCCGAAGAGACACAGAGCCCACTCAAAGTCAGGATGGAACTGCAATCTGAACCCAAGCAGTTGGAGTTGGAGCCCAGTCCTTCTTCCTTGAGGGCTGGTGCTGCCTGCCTCAGCCACCCTGTCTTCAACCCCTCAAGCTTCCCTTGAAAGGGGCCTGAGGCAGGTGAACTCACTTCTCTAGGGGACCTGCCTCCCTTCTATCCTGAGAAGACACCTCTTGGATCCAAATCGCCTAAGGCCTTGGAAGGAAAGGGGGCCATCAGGGCCTTGGGAATAGGTGTTACTAGCTCCACGCTGCAGAAGACACCGACGCCCCGTGGCCAGGCTGGGACTCGTTCCAGGTCCACCCACCTGGGCCCCAGTGCTCGCTTCCTCCACCCAGCGCCCCCACCCAGCTGAGGGGGAGACCCCCCAGAGCTCACCATGGCCCCAGCGACCCCCCTCGGTCCATACCCCTGGCCAGGAGACCCCGCACCCCTGCTGCAGAGAAGCTGTGCCATCCCTACCTGCGCCCCCAGGAGGGGCCCCGGAGGCAGAGGATGTGCGCTGTGGCCAGCTGGGCACCGTCTGGGGCCTGCAGTGGCACAGTTAGCAGACTTTGGCACCATCTCCGCCTCCCCTGAGAAATCATTAACCCTGAGAGAGACCACACCTCCAGGGATGGGAAGGACTACTCAGGAGGCCCGGACCACGGCTGAAGAGGGGGGTACCAGGGCAGGACTGAGGCGAGGGCCCCCTGCTCCCAGGCCCAGAGGCCTAGGTCACGGGAGCCAGTGCCCAGCAGAGCCTAGCCCACGGGAGGTAGGAACTGGGCCCCAGCCCTGGGGCAGGTGTGTGTGGAGGGGGGTGACATCTGGGCTCACCATCTCCTCCCTGCTACAAGATCCCTCAGTGGCGGAAGACCTGTGAGGGAGGTGAGAAAGGCAATAGGTTCTGGGAGGGAAGTAGTAAAACAGTGTGATAATCAAACATGAGGTCTTCCGAGAGCAGTGAAGGCAGTCATGATGGGTCCCCTCCTTTGAGGCCTCCAGAGGGTATCCACTGTCCCCCAGGGTTCATCCACCCCCCACCCCCAGCTGACTTTAAATATTTTCCCAGCACCTGTGGTCTCCCAACAGAGGCAGAACCCTGACTCCTCCTCCAGCCTCTCAGGCCCAACCATTCCCGTGTTGACACTGGAGAAAGGGGATCTTGAGTCCTTGGGGATGGGAAGCTTAGGGAAGTGACTTCCACTCCCTGAGCCGTGCTGCCTGTGACTGGACCATGGGGTGCTGGGTCCTCCTACCCTAGGGGCAGGTGAGGGCCGCCAGGAAGACACTCAGGCCAGTAGGGGCATTTAGTGAGGCCTGGAGCAACCAAAAGAGACCATGAGATGCAAATACACTCTTAGTTCCAGGAAAGTCCTGGGGGGAGAAGGTCATGCCTCCTCAGAGGAGCTAGAATCAAATTTATTGAGCACCCACAGAATGCTTTATCACCAACTCAGTGGACATGAATTTGAGCAAACTCTGGGAGATGGGGACAGGGGAGGCTGGTGTGCTGCAGAAAAGGATCACGGGGCTCAGAAAGGGGAAGTGACCAGAAGCCCGGAACTGGCTCTGACGACAGCACCACGGCCTTTGATGAGGGAAGAGGTCTCCCGCCTGCCTCAGCCCTCCCCACGTCTCCTCGCCCAGCAGGGCCTCCTCCACACTTCCTGACCACCCCCCATTCTGGCCGCTCAGCAGCCCTCCCGGCTTCCCTGGTGACAAGACCCAGTTTTCCTCTGTGGAATCTCCTCACCCAACCCCTCTTACCCCCATGGAGGGCATATGATGAGGCCTGGCACAGCACCTCTCTGGCCAGAGCTTCTGGTTTGGGTTTGGGCATGTGACCAAAATTGGGTCAGATAGAACTGATGAGACTCAAAAGATTTTTGTTGGAACTGTTAAGAATAAGAACCTCATTCCTCCCCACTGGGATGTCCAAGCTCTGAGAAAGTGACTTCCAACAGCTGTCTGTCTTACTACCATGAGGGGAAAGGCTACTGAGAACTAATTCAAGACTGAGTTAAAGCAGAACTAAAAAATGGAGACACATGAATTCCTCATGACTTATGTGGGCCCCTGGATATAGCCATGCCTGAAGCCATCACCACAAGACTCTTCAGTTACTGAATCAATACATTCCTTTTTCTGCTATGTCTGGTTGAATTAATCTGTCCTGATTATAGTGCCCTTAAGGCAGGAAGTTCCTCATCCTGACACCACCCTACCCAGATGCTAAGGAAGGGGTACAGACAGAGTTAAAGTAAGAGAGAGAAGAGTTTGAACTTGGTTTGGCCAACTCCCTGTTAAGCCTCCTGGAGTTCCCACTTCTCCCCATAGCATGATATTGGACATCTGCATTCATAATTTGAAGACAATAGTATTACTTACTTCATAGGATTCTTGTGAGGATAAAACCAGATCACTGAAATACTGTTCCTGGCATGGGGCCCAGAACACAGCATGGACCCCACCCACCAGTTGTCTGAGCTCCCAGGGCATTGAATTCATACCTTGCTCAGCACACATGTCGCTGTCCAGTCATCATCCTGGGTGGCCTTCTCCTTGTGGGCCAGAGTCACACTTGACTTACACTCAATAGATATATGTATCAGGCATTTATGATATGACAGACACTTTAACAAATGTTTGTTCCCCAAACCCCCATTTTAAAACAAATTATCAAAATACACATGCTGTGTGCACACCCATGTTCATAGCAGCACTATTCACCATAACTAAACAAAACATGGAAACATTCCAAGTGTCTGTTGACAGATGGGTTTGTTGTTCAGTCGCTCAGTCGTGTCCGATTCCTTGTGACTCTATGGACTGCAGCACACCAGGCTTCCCTGTCCTTCACCATCTCCTGGAGCTTGCTCAAACTCATGTCCATTGAGTCAATGATGCCATCCAACTATCTCATCCTCTGTTGTCCCCTTCTCCTCCTGCCTTCAATCTTTCCCAGTATCAGGGTCTCTTCCAATGAGTCATCTCTTTGTATCAGGTGGCCAAAGTATAGGATGCATAAGCAAAATGTGGTCTATACATACAATGGACTATTAGCCTTAAAAAGGGAGAGAATTTCAACACATTATGATATAAATGGACCTTGTTATGCTAAGTGAAATGAGCCAGTCACATAAAGACACAAACTGATTCTACTTATTGGAGCTATTTAGAATAGTCAAAATCGCAGACAGAAAGGAGAATGGTACTTACCAGGGGCCAGAGAGGGAGGAATGCGAAGTAATTGTTTAGTGGGTATCGAGTTTCAGTTTTGTAAGGTGGTATGAGTTCTGGAGATGAATAGCAGTGACACACAACAATATGAGTGTTCTTAATACAACTGTATATTTGAAAATGGTTAAGATAGTAAATTTAAGATTATTTTACCATAATTTTTTAAAATTGGAAAAATATGTGCCACAACAAGCTTAAAAAGTGAAGAAACCTGGATGAAGGAAAAACCAATGAAAAACATGAGGACAATTTAGCCCCTAAAGAGTCCATAAAACATTTAAATATTTGCCTTGACGTTCCAGATAATTGTCAGAGGTGGGCCATGAATTGGGTTCTGAACCTCCAAGCAGGCAAGGCAAAGAGGGAAACATGATCTGAGATCCATTAAGTCCAACATCCATCCAACGTACATACATACATACATAGAGAGAAAGCTCACTAGGATCTGGGAGTTGTGGTGCAATTCCTAATACCTAATAGGTTTTACCTCTTGTGTGTCTCTAAGAAAAGGATGCTACAGGATGTTGGATGGTACTTGACATGACTATTATAAAGTAGTTGCTAAGAAACCAGGTTCAGGATCAGGGGCCGAGTTTAATTGTAATGAGGCAAATTACAGAATCTCCTGAATCCTCAGTTTCCTCATCTGTAAATTACGGGTAATGTATGAAGCCTACCTCAGAAGGATGGTAAGGTGGTAAGGATGAAAATGAAGTCATGCACTTAGAGTCCCAGGTACAATGGCCAATGCAGAGAGAAGGCTCACAGAACGTTAGTTCTGTAATAGTGTGGTGAGATCACTAGGGGCCTAATTGGTAGGAGGAGAGATGGGCACCTCTGCCCAAGGCTCCAGGCCCACCCCAGACCAAGGGAGGTAGCCTGGTCTCTCTGCCTAGGACCAGGTAGGGCAAACCCCAGCCCCAGCCCCTGCCCTTGCTCCCTGCTCTGACCCCTGGGGCCAACAGCTCTGAGTCACTGCCCTGGCCCCTACAGGGTGTGTCCTGGCCTTCCCAGACCTTTGGTCAGTGTCTGGATGAGCCGGGTGTGGCCAGATGGTGCCTTTTCCATCTCACGGGCACCTGTCTGCCTGCCACCAGGTGATCTGAGAAGCTCACTGGGCTCTGGGCTGTAACTGACCCAGGTCTGCGTCAGTTTCAGGAAGTGGCAAGTGGCCAGGCACAAAATAGGCCTAAGGGGTCAGAATATGAACTCAGATGACCTAGGTCCTAATCGTCTCCCCACTGCTTACTAGCTGGGGGCCTTGGGCAAGAGAGTTCATCTCCCAAACTTCAATGTCCTCATCTGTAAAATGGGCACAACTGCAGAAGCCAACTCTTAGGTCTGTTATAAAAAAAATAAGCAAGAAATGCGCTAAAGCACTGGGGCTTCCCCGGGTGGTGTTAGCAGTAAAGAAACTGCCTAAGCTATGCAGGAGACACAAGAGACATGGGTTTGACCCCTGGGTTGGGAAGATCCCCTGGAGGAGGGCATGGCAACCCACTCCAGTATTCTTGGCTGGAGAATCCCATGGACTGAGGATCCTGGCCGGCTACAGCCCATGGGGTCACAAAGAGTCAGATGTGACTGAGGCAAGTTAGCACACACATATGCACTAAAACACGAGCCCAGGGCAGTGATAGAGAGGAGGTAGCAATCTGGACACACACCAGGGTTTCTTCATAGCCACTGTCTCAGATGCGTGGTTTTTAAAAGCTTTTTTTTTTTTTTTCTAATTGTTATTTATTTTTGGCTGCCCTGGGTCTTCGCTGTGGCGCACAGGCTTTCTTTTGTCTGGGCAAGAAGAGGCTGCTGTTAGTTGTGGTGCACAGGCTTAGTTGCTCTACGGCACGTTGGAATCTTCCCAGACCAGGGATCAAACCCGTGTCCCCTGCATTGCCAGGTGGATTCTTAACCACTGGACCACCAGGGAAGTCTCTCTAAAAGTTTTGATCAGAAAAACTTCTTGTTGCTTGTCTCTTCTGGCAATCTACTCTGTGCACTCACTATATGCTCAGAAATTGATCAAGTTGAAATCAAGCCCTGACTTGTCCTATGGTGTCTGGCAAGTCATTCCTCTCTGAGCTACAACTTCATCTGAAACATGGAGTGGCCCCCTCGCTCCCCCACCTCAACAGTGTATGGCTTCAGAGGTGACCTGGAGAGCCTGGGCCGAGTGTGTCTCTTTGCTGTGTGTGTGTCCAACCCCTCCTCAACCTTCCAGCTGCACACACCTTTGCAGAATACAAGTTTCCTTCATCACTCTGTCTTACAGCTGAGGAACCAGCCCAAGGTATTAATATATAAACAGCCGCTTGGTGTCAGATTCACGACCTCCCATC